TATATTGGATTGGAAACGGGGAGGATTGCAGTCTGATATAATACAACTATTCTTCAGAGACCTGATGTTGATAAATATTGAAATTATTCCCGCCAGAGACATTTAAATGTCGTCTGTGACAACGCTTCATACTGAGTTTGTGGAAATGCTTTGTCTTTAAATGCACTTGTAAGATAAGTATAGGACGCGTTTTCTTCTATCTTCCAGTTTTTATCTGACAGGAGATCGATAATGTTTATCAATCAGTCAACAACTCTAATATGTCTATATTTTTTCTTTTCTGTGCATCATCAGCATAACAGGTACCTGTGAATGTTGCTGTAAAATCAGGTATTTTTGTGAGGGCCCAGTTTTGGTGTTTTTCAGCAAAAATAAAAAAAATTCAGGGACACTTGATTTCATGCATAAGTACTGGTGTACCTCTGGACAATATACCACTTGTGCTTGTTTTTCACCATGTGTGGATATAAAAAATTGTGGATTAAGAATACCAATCGTGAAAAAAACATCCCCAGGAAAAGTAATGACTTCATAGTAGTCATAACTAAACATCTCCACAGACTTAATGTTTGTGTTAAAAACCTTGCTACAACCTCATATACTGTAAGCAACTTATTTCAAGAATAAAATACTTTATTTTAGTAAGATTGATACATTTTATTTATCATAATTTTCCTGTTTGCTAAGTTTATGATAAAAAGGATGCTGAAGTTTAAAACTGGAGGTTAACAGGAATGAACTTACAACTTAAATTCAACAGAAAATATAATACTGCCTTATATATATATATTTTGAAAACCATTTTAGAAAAGTTTAAATATTTCTGATATTTAGTGACATGAACTATTAACTATTATTTTTCCTAGTTATTTAATTGGATTTTAACTTAAAGAAATATTAATTTCAACAGGAAATTTGTACAGAAATTAGACTTTTATCAACTGTTCCTATTTTATATTTGATATGCAGGAATTTTGATTATTCATCTGAAATTTTGGGTGTAATATATTACCAATTATGGCAGAATTCATAGAAACAAAAGCAAACAAAAAAAAAAAAGAAGAATTGGTCTATTAAGTTTGTTTATCTATTGAAAAGTTTCAGCAATAATGGAGGGTCATTTTGAACATTTTCAAAAATAAAGTACTACAGCATATAGTAAGACATGTTATTGTTAATTTTGAATAACAGACATTCCCATTTGATAATGATTTCAATCTTTTATAGACAAAAGTACCTGTTATTTCTAATTGATCATTATTTGAATTTAAATAGCTTCAGGTGTAATGGCATGCACCATTACCAAGTTTATACAATGCTTCTTACCTCCGTCAAATTTTAAACGTTTGTTAATATTGATGAAAAATAATTAGAATACAGTAAACCAAACATAGCATCATCATAGTGCCATGTCCTTGCCCGAAAGTCGTGTATCACATGATGACGCTACAAATAGCCTGATTTCGTGTTTGGATGATTGCTTCAAGAAATGTCCATTTTACCAAATAAACAGCAAAGGTTTTCTATTCATGACTGCCAATCTGTCGCTTAGTCGTCTAAACGTATCAGCCTTGGATAGTAGTCATCATGAGAAAATTGATTCCTTAAGGAAGAGATAGGTAATGCTGAGGCTTAACAGTTTCTGTGTCAAATCAATGGCTGAGTGCTGTTGTAGAATAGAGCATGCATAGTACAGCTCAGGAATTTGTCGCTCTCAGGAAGCAACTGCTTGTCTTTGTGTGGTTTACAGATCCACAACAAAATTTTGCAGATAATTTTGTATTTTTTCAGGAGCCAGAGGTGAACAAATGATAAATCTTTATTAAAATATAGAAGCTTATAGCTACTTGCATAGAAAAAGAAGCTTGGAAAGACAATATTTTAGCTCATATGCCTTGCATAGAATTAGTTTCCAAATGTTTATTTATGTATAAAAATTGGTATTTTGTGAATAATTGATATTCAAAGTGTCTGAATGATTTATGTTCCTGGGATCTGTGAATTCACATTAATTTATATGTTCTTGCAAGGAATTCAAGGAAAAAATGAAGCATGAAAATATATTGGCAATATTTGATGAGCCTATCTCCTCTACAGTGAATAACCAGGATGGTGTTATTGTAGCGTAGTGCTTTCCACACAGTGATCAGAAACAGCCATCCCAAAGCTGGTGTCTAATGGTAAAGATGCACAATTTGATTATGCGTTTTAACCCTGTGATCCCAACAAACACAATGGATTCTCCAAGTCCATAATTGAGATAGGTTCATGATTTCTTAATGGGGGCGGAGGATGTTAAAGCACACGAGAACAGAAAATCAGCAAAGGGGTCAGTGGTCAAATTTGATAAACTATCTATAAATACAGATAAAACTCACCAAAGGAGTCTGTCTGCCAAACTGAAGAGTGTTTTATTTTTTTGACAGAAAACCTATGGGATATACAAAATGTATAGCTTAGTCAAAAGAACTTGACATTGAAGAGCTGGACCATAGGTGACCATGTTCTGGCACAATACACCTAACCATATTTTAAACAGAAATCTATTGATCTTTTGCTAATTTAGACTGAAATATAGTAACCAAATTATAAACGTGAATTGTTTCAATTTCTTTCCCTTTATAGCATAAACTGAAAGAAAAGATCTGTTATCATTATTCTAATGTTACTGTCCTTGTAAATAGGATCTGTCTGTTGACTCAGTGGAATCTTTAAGGCCATGGGAAATATGATTTCATAATTTCTGAGATATGTACATGCTGAAACAATATCGAACTTTTGAAAAAGACTATGCTACAAATGCAACATGCTGAATCAGCACTTTAGTGTCACACAAGTCAGTCTGGCGGAAAACCAGTATCAGTGATCTATAAGGGACTCATGTTAATGTTATCTGTGTCACATGAAACATGAGGAAAAGAAACAAATTGAGGCCTTCGTGTACACATCAATTGCATTGAACTGTTTGTAAAGATTCAATCTATGTGGTTGCATGACATCAAATTGCCTCAATATAGGTTCAGCTCCCATTCATGTGTGTTTTTTTATATTCAAATCATCTGGTCTTCTCTCTGTGTATCCTATAGTAATAGTCGTAGTTCTTTTTCTCTCACACAGTCATGCTGCCATATATCCTAGCTCTAGTATATAGCATTTTAATGCTTCAGTCTATTGTAATTTTCTGCATATAAAAAATCCTCCATTGGTGGTGGTTGGTGAAGTGAGGAAAATGATTAAAGCGGAGGTACTGGTTGATGTTAATTACAAACCATAACTATTGTAAATACTCAGGCCCACCGTTTTGTGATCTGTATCCCTCCATAAAATAAATCTACGTGACATGTAGGCTAGAGGCTCTAATACACATTCAATTTAAATAAACACATTTTATGTGATCACGTTAAAAATCACCCTTTGCTCTTAAGCTTGAGTGATTGATGAGGAAGATTCTCTGAGGTCAGCTAGAGTCAAAGTGGGGATGACTACACTTAGGAATAGTATAGATGCAGGAGGGAAAATTTGTTCCTACTGAAATTTAAGTTGTGATTTCCAAAACAACCAGCATAATGACTTAATTTCATTAGCAACTCTTTAACCTGGGCTTATTGATGTGTGATAGAGATCTGAAGTTCCTTATTCATTCATCATCAATTCACTCATGGTGAAAGCAGAACTCATTAGCCTCACCTACAAATATATCTTAAATCAGCCCACAAGATAGTCAAACCCTCCCTCCCTCCCTCCCATCCAAAAAAAAATAAATAATAATAATAATTTAACGTTTGCTGTAAACCCTGTGTTAAAACCACACAGTGTTAATAAATGTCACTGGAATTTGGTCCCAGTGTAACACAGTTTCAAGTGAATGAACCTTAAAGGCCATTACTAATCTCTGTTACCATGAGACTGGCTTTTATAGACAGGTATGACTGTATCTGTACCAGTAAGATGAATCAAAAACCTCTCTGACAAAGCTTGTATCATTTTTATGAAAATTATAATAGAATATTCTAGTAAGTCTCATAAATATATTCATGAACCAAATCTGAAAGGAAGTGTTTGTAGCTACAGTTTGGCTATAATAAGGATTGATTGTGATGAAGAATATAGTTCATAAAATGGCTGGAACATGTATAGATCTAATTAAGTAGACCATCTACCAAATTCCAGTGCCATATATCTTGTTTTATGATCCAGTTTCATGGTTTCAGAAGTTATGTCTTTCCTGGCAGATCTGTTTCAGTAAAGATATAACTTGCATGATTACTTGGAGATTTATACATGAGCTCGTACATTATATGTTGGCGGTAATTGATGATTAAATTATTTTTGAGTACATAATTTTGTGTGCATGACCGACTCGTAAAATATGGCAGAAACACTTAGTATGATTTTATAATATATATATAGATATTGAAATGTTGATTTGTATTCCTGAATTGTCAACTGTTGATATTTTCTCAATATCCTATCCTCCTGTCTAAGATTTCCTGTTTCTTCTGTACCTGTATCCTCAAGTCTTTATTCCTGTTTAATTTAATGTTTAGATTACCTGACTTTATTAATGATTGATTCCATTCTGCTTTCTTTAAACTTTAGCCACTTTCTTGTCAATTAAACTGTATTTAGAATTGATACATTTTTACTTCTAATGATATGTTTCCAGGAAGAAAATTCACAGAAATTTATTCAGTTTTCTGAAAATGTCATAAATAGGACCAAAAATGACAATGTGTTTTTGAACTTGATATATATGAGATTTTTTCCCTTTGATTAGCTATACATGATCAAATGTCACATATGTGTTTATGAAATTGTTTTAGATCTTTGAAATAACTGTTTTTATTTCAAAGATCTAAAACAAATGATATTGACTATATTTGATATGTTGGATCATGAATTGATGAAGAGTTGATTACAGATTCATGGATTATGTTAGCGCAGATTTATCCCTGGTTCTAAATCACGATGTACAGGTTTGTTTTGGTTTTGTTTTGCAGGTGGAAGAGATCCGTGGAATGATTGATAAAATTTCTGATAATGTGGAAGAGGTCAAGAAAAAACACAGTGCCATCTTGTCTGCTCCACAATCGGATGACAGTAAGTTGTTCTAGCCAATCACTGATCACTTTAATATTAATATGAATACATCGACCATATCCAACTGGCCTCAAGGTCACAAGGGTCACATTTTCAAAAACATTTTAACAACTAGAGACATGATATTTGGCTGGTATATATATATATATATATATATGAAGTGAGCAGTGCAGGCCCACTGGTCCTCTTGTTGAATATTCTGGTCATCTGTCCGATCATAAAGATATCTACCAGCCACTTTAACAATACAGAACTGTATTACACTGCTTCTGCTTCATGAACCTGTACAATTATTGTGTCAATATATTCATCTTATGGATTACATTAACACCATTTGTTTATCGGTTATGTGGATTGAGAAGTAGTCACAGAATTTCCTATGGAATCTCTCAAACCTGACCTTAACCATTTGTGAACTGATTATGATGTAAAAAGTGTGGGTCGGTGTGACATGTGGTATTAAATATGGCCTCTATCACTCAGCTGACAGAACATGCTTCTTGACTCAGTTGGGTAGAGCCTTCGATTTCCATGCCACAGACACTGGATTTTTGGTCTGGGCTTTTGACATGAATGTGTATTGTCCTTGTTTTTACAATGGTGAAGTCATTGATGCATTCACTTTCTTGAAATATACTTCCTTTTTACTTCCAGATGTCAATAAAATCCATGGACTTTTAAAACATTGAGAAAAACAATCTTCACAGTAAGGGTACTAAATGCATAAGCTTAACATACCTCTAAGACTGTCATTAAGTTTGGTTAGTGGAAATAAGGTATGAATGTATGTCTCTATATGGCTAGGGTCAGTGGGAATAAGGTATGATCGAATGTCTCTCTGTGGTTAGAATTAGTGGAAGTAAGGTATGATTGTACATCTTTCTGTGGCTAGAGTTGGTGGAAATAAGGTATGATTGTACATCTTTCTGTGGCTAGAGTTAGTGGAAATAAGGTATGATTGTACATCTTTCTGTGGCTAGGGTTAGTGGAAATAAGGTATGATTGAATGTCTCTCTGTGGCCAGGATAAGTGGCAATAAAGTAAGAATGTAGATCTCTCTCTGTGACCAGGGTTAGTGGAAAAAAGTTATATGGTATGATCTGTCTGTGGTCAAGGTTAGTGGAAATAAGGTATGATAGTAAGTCTCTCTGTGGCCAGGATAAGTGGCAATAAAGTAAGATGGTACGTCTCTCTCTGTGGTCAGGGTTAGTGGAAATAAGGTTTGATGGTATATCTTTTTCTATAGTTAGGAAAGGGTTAATGGAAATAAAGTTAAAAGAATGATGGTACATCTTGTGTGGCAGGAAATTCAAGGCTTTGCCAGTGGCACAGGGTATAGTTTATCTCCAGCAGTCACACATGGGACTGAAAATTGGCACAGTGTTTTAATTTGTTTCTTAAATATTTATGAGTTCTTGAGAATATTTATTGATTGGCTTTGGTTTAAGTATGAGTAATCAGTGGTGCTAGACAATGTATCCAACACATAATCTGATAACAGTGATAGCAGGACTTCTACCAACCGCAGTCTTTATTAGTTAAAAACTATGATGAAAGTCCAATGAGGTTCATAAGGAAGAATATTATTCCTATGACAACATTTTAAATCAGGCCTTTTTTAAGGGCTTCTTGAGGCCAATAAAGGGGCCCTATTCCAAATTAAAATTATTTGGTTTGAGACAAATCCTGAGAATTTTGCAATACGACTTCTGAAAATTTCTTTTCCAATTCATCAATTTTCCCAAAATTGAAGCGAGGCAAAAATGCCCCATTCCAAACCATCTATTTAGGTAACTATTTCTTCTTGTCGAAACTTCTTCATTTCAGCTCACCAAAGGCTCACTAAAATTAAAGTTTCTTAGACTTAATTCATAAATATGCAATCAAATGAAACCTCATGTGTATATATAACAAGCTTTACATAAAGACATGTTTTATTAGGAGAAGGGTCTCTTTTTGGATGACAGTGGTACTACATAGCACCAGCTACAGCCTTCCTGTTCCTAGGTCAATACAGATTCCTGGTAGTCTGCAGACTTTGGCAGGATACCATAATATTGAGAAATGATTGTCAGAAACATGATTATTCCATTCCAATAATGTTTGTCATTGAGCATCTGCAATCACAGCATTAAAACTGGACAGAGATTGTCCAGCATTCTTATAGCTTAAGCTTAAACTCAAATTTTACCACGAAATATTCTTTAATTTCCTGTAACAAATTAAACAAAAATGAAGAGACCAAGTTAATTGTCAATCCACTTGGCCATTATTTATGGTAATTTGATATTTTAAAACACATTCAATTAATTTCTCATTCATTTGTATGAAGGGACAAGCAGTCTTATAGGACAGCTGAGTTTAAGATGTAGGTTGAACAAACAAAATGTTATTTGGTGATTTCGGAAGGAATACATCTAAATGAATACAGGTTACTGTGTACAATGGCATTCGAGCCTTGTAACATCAGAAATGTCTACTGTACTCCAGGGAAATAATGGCACTTGGAAACATTGAAAATAACTCAAGTGAACATTGGAAAAATTGTCGGTTCTGTTAAAGAAATCAACAAGTTGCTTGGACCATCTTTGGACTTAAGAGCAATAAAGTCAAAACATGTTCCTGGATTTTCTGGAAGACGTTAAACAATTCCCTATAGTGTTGAAGGTGATTTGTTAAAGTGTTTCCAGTCCAAAAAAAATAAAGCCAAAAACATATAGATTTTTAAGCTTACTTAATTGACATGTTGGTGTCAGAGGAATGGTACTGACAACTCAGTAATAAGTGTGTATGTGAAAGCTCACATCACAATGCAAAGACTGACTATAAGAACATCCCAGTATAAACATTGTACATCTCTGGTCTTTATCAAGATTAATCTCATAATGGCAAATTGTAAACATTTCAATCACCAAGATTAGATCAGATATTTTTGTCAACATTTCTAAAAGGCTTTTTACTCTTTCAAAATAAAATGTATAAATGCATCTTAGACCTGTCATATTCTTTTATTCCACAATTTCATCTCTTCTGTTTGATTTTTTTCTTAGTAAAAAAATAATAATAAAACTAAGATGTAAGGAATGTGATTTTGATATTCTAAGTGAAAAGGAGAGGAGTAGGAGGAAAAGGAGGGAACATTTTGGGAGAATTTAAAAACAAAATAAATGGATTAGTATCATGTGTATATTGACACTGACATTTGAATAGCATTAGTCTGGTTATATTCTGATGGGTTAAGTGATGGGGGCTGTAGTGGTATAACCTTAGGCTGATGGAATTAAAAGTGTGTTTCTTATACTTTCTTATTTAACATCCATTCAGCATTATTCTCTTGTGACCAATCTTTCAAAGGAAAATGGTTGTCTCTGGTGGTGCCTGAATGTGAACCCTCTTCAATCAAACACTATGGAAGCCCTTGTGTGTTAAAAGGACAAGTGTACTGCCGATACCAAATTGCTTTTGTTTCCTCTTTATGAATAATGTAAAGTTCTCAGAAAAAGAAATCATTATTTACAGTCATATTGAATACAAATAAAATATAAATATCTGAAATTTTGGAGAAATCCAATTCTCTGAAAAAAAAATCATGATTTTTAAAATTTCATTTACAGGTATCAGTATGTTTGCCTGTAAGAGGCATCTTAGCATTAGAGTCTTGAGTTCAAATGAAGAAACAAAAAAACAAAAAAGTCTTAAAATAAAAAAATGTATACATATGTCTATAACACTTTTGATTGCCCATGGGAAATACAAGTTTTAGTCGCCATAGAAAAGGATTTTCAGACTATGTTAATTTCATAACTGCTTTTGTATTGGAAGTATAATGAGGAAAAGTGTTTGTATTGCTGTATCGATAAATTGTCTCAATCGTTGTCATTTATTGACCGAATTAAGGTGTTGTATTCTAATGGAACCCAGCAGAGTCGTCCAAACAGTGTTGACGGTTAATGGAAATTCACTGATAGCATCTGATAGGGATTTACTTAATATCCTCTAGGATTTCACTGTGATCCGAACAATCTCCATTTTCTAGTTATTGCTTACTACTTAAGATAGAAACATAATCAAATAGTAATAAATAATGTTGATAATTTCTGTTTCGTAAATAATTACTGTATTTGATTTCATAAGAAATATGATATTTATTGGCATATATATAGATTTGTTGTTATACACTTGCTGAACTTGAAATTTATGTTTTCATTTCATATAGTAAAATAGTGTTATCAGTTATGGAAATTACTGTTCTTTGACTGAACTACTGATCAATTATTTATTGTTTTCATGAATAATATTACATGATAGATTCTGTTCAGTTTAATGTTTTAAGACATGTGCATTAAAAGTCAGACTAGAGTTATCTTATCTTATTTTTTTTTCTTTTGTCCTAAATTCAATCCAATTAGATTTCTCTTGTGAAAATTGAATCCAATTCGTTTTCTTTTGTACAAGTTTAATCCAATTTTATTTCATTTGTACAAATTACCGGGTAATCCAATTTGTTTTATTTTCTGAATTTTTAAGGGTTTTTGAACTTTCCAGGAGTCAAAGTTTGAATTGTTAGATACATTATAATATGGGCTCATCTTTGGTGTATCTCTTGAGAATAACAAGCAGGTTAAAAGTTTGCTGGCGGATTTTTCAAAGTCACTTGCACATCAGCAAAAATGAGTGTTGCGGCTGCCATGTTTTTCATGAGTCGAAAGTATAAGGTGTGCACTGAATATGGAACCTACAACTGGATCTGTCAGACCTCCCTTTTTTGTATGAATGGTATATCTGTTCACACATTCACCTGTGTGGATGGCTGCCATTCAATGATGTAAACCAAAGCACTACATTATTGTGCACATTCATTCAGTTTGCATTTTACTTTCATATCAGTGTGAAACTAGAAAATATTCCTATCAAAGCTTAATGAATGCTCTAAGGCTTCCAGTTGAATAGATGTGGCTAGCTGCATTGTACACCTTTCACCAATAAAGCTTCATGTTGATTGTTTTTTTGATAAGGCTTATGAATCCAGAACTTCCCTGCAGAGACTGAAATTCAAGGACTTCGTCTATTACAGCAAGATTTGAAAGTTTCAAATAAACAGATAATTGAAAGTGCAAATTTTTTTAATATTTATGGATAAGAAAATACTGTTATTATTTATTCTTTCAGAAACAAAGGAAGAGCTGGAGGAACTTATGACAGATATCAAGAGAACAGCTAACAAAGTCCGTGGGAAATTAAAAGGTAAATCACAATTATTTACACAAGATTTTATCCTGAAAATTGCAGCTGCTGTAAATATCTTATTTAAGAAAAAATAATTCAATAAAAGTTTAGTTGCCATGTATTCAGTCTGTCAGTAAACTGAATCATTGAGGATTTTTGTACAGTGGAACCCACTAAATGTCATGTCTGTTAATGTCACTTTCCAGTTAATATCACGTTTTCTAGAAACACTGATTTTTTTTCTTTATATTTTCTATGTAATCCAACATCTGATAATGTCACCTGTTTTCATGTTGGCAATGCTTAATATCACTTTATTCTGCACACTATCACAAAGAAAGCAAAGGTTAATCACACATAAGTGAGGACAGGAACTATGGATTCATGTCTGAAAGGTCATATGTCACACCTGGACACAATATGTAAACATTGTCACTGCCCTATGGTTCAACTTTTCAAGCTTTTGCGACACCTGAACATTAAGATTGTCAAAGAAAGTGTAGTGCGTTTTTTTGGGGTTTTTTTTGTATTGGCTAGTGCATTCCAGGTGATAAAATCTGTTATAAACCCTTGTCACTTGGAACTTGTCACGATACAACCAATGTTGGAGTGGGTGCCATTTTCCGATGTGTTGTCGAAACATCTTGAAAATAAGTCTTTAGTATGCATACCAAAACAAAAAAGATTATTTTGCAAAAGACATTTAAGAAAATAATCATAAACTGTAATTTACAAAAAATGGTTTTTGTTTTGTTTCTTTTTACAATGATGAATGGGATACCAAATAGTGTCATGTCAATGTCATCATCACAAATGTCGCCTCCTGTCAATTTATGAGAACATCTTTCTGATACAAAGCTTAAAATGATAAATAAAGCAAAATTCATTGTAGAATAATATCACATGTTGCGAGAAAAAAGCTTCACTGGGTCACTAACGTCTTTGGAAACCCAACTGGCCATAATATCAGAATGTCGATGTTTTGATATTTCTTAAAACAATTTATTCTTAAATTACTGTGAGTACTGGTAAGCTGACAGTAAAATGTCCTGAAACAAGGTTTTCCCTATGCCGTGTTCATCTGATTGGCCATTAAAAATAACCACTAGTTTAACAGCCAATGAAACATGGCATTTCAAAGGTGAACAGTTCACAGACTGTTGACTATTTTTGTTGGCGATTATTGAGATGCGATCTTCAGGACACATTTAACTGAAGTTGCAGAGATACACACTTTATATATATTATCTTTGTGATGATACACCATTATTAAGTCTATACAGTAATAAATTATACAGCCAAACATCAGCTGATGACACAATAGTGTCACTTACGAATCTGACCAGAAAACTGAATATGACAAGAATTGTCATGATCTTTCCAGATAATTTATTATTGCAGTTTAGATGTTTCAAAGAACAAACAAACAAAATGCAAGGATAATAAATGTTCTAAATCAAATTTCAAATTTATTGTCTTTTAGCAATTTCTGTTAGAAACAAGTCAGTTTGGCGCATCAGAAAATTAACTTTTGGAAAAATGTGTCAACTGTTAATGACACATTCTGCTTATAATCACATTTCCATCTGACAAATAGAACATAATATTAAGTGGATTTTACTGTACTGGCGATAGCTCAATAGTATTGCTTTCACCTTCCTGACACAATACAATCATTATCCTCTGTCTGATTGGTCAGTTTTTGCCATTGTTTTAGTTATACCACCTGCATGGATTAATTTCCAGTTTCCAACGAGGGTTTTATTAGTACCACACAGGTGGTATATATAATTGAAAATTTACATCCAAAATTGATCAGAAAGAACAAGATTGCTCATTACTGTTGAAAATAATACCTACTTCAGTTAAAATGATATCTGTGTGAAGCAGGACATTATTCATTCAGATTGGATGTACACTTGATGGAGACATAGGGAATTTTTTGACTATTTGCAATATTAACTCCAAATTTAGATATAGTAGTATATAATGAAACACCTTCATCATGTTAGTAAGTATCGGTAGAACAGAAATTCTTATATCGCAACCAATAGAAATATTTTGTGTAGAGTTTAAATGACAACAATGCCACCTTTATCTTAGTTTTTATCTGATGGAGATGTCAGTCATCCAGACATCACTTTTAAATTTCTACCTGTTATGAGAACTTCATATGATATAAGAATATGACGTCTAGTTGTGATATTGTTTGTGGTGAATTCAAGCATTGGTACAATATTTATGTAAATTTGAAAGTGTTATAGATATAAGATCACACCATGTCTGTTCAACAATGAGTTTCTTACATCCTTTTATCACTTTATCACAGTTGATGTTTTGAAAATAGCAAACTAGGATGCAGGTATAGATTATCATCGGATGTTTATTTCAACAGACAGTATATTTCTGTACTGTGATTTAATAGATCAATGGTATTTGTGTACATGAAATCATAATTAGGTTGAACACGGTAAAAAAAGTACTGCTGTTGCGATTGGTGACTAAAGAATTCAAAGGAGAGAAGAAAGAAGACATCAATTATTTTAGTCGTTTCAGCCACATAGCTTTATTGATGTAGATAATCTTGGAGACATTACAGATTCTGACCATGAAGTTACAATCAATACCTGAGGCCTTAATTCTGCATTTTTTTAAAAACTGATGCATAATAAATGAGGTAGGCTATTGTAAAGGTTGTTTGTGAATTGTTCAAATTTGTGAGATTTAACGAAAGTCATGAAGTAGATAACTATGGTTTTCTCTGTTAGTTTTATACTCACTTTGTGTGATTTTAATCCATTCTCCAAAAATAACAAAAAAAGCAGATAACCTTGACAATAACAACTTTAACAGTATAGGTATTTCAGAATATTGTTTTTCTAAAGATTGTACAAAAGGCATACAAGTGAATGTGACCTTCCTAAACAGATTTACCAACAAAATTTATCATACAGAAGATTCTCTTGTCAGCTAGGGCTTGCCTGTGATGCTATGTGTCTAGATTTTGAAACGTAGAAGGCAACTGAACAAAATAGAAATTAATTAAAAGGAATAGTAGAATTAAGATAGGGAGGTGTACAAGCCTTGTAATTTGATAAATTTCACATATCTGATAATTCCCCAACAATGTAACTGCCTGAACTTGGCCGCTATTCACATGCATTAAAACATGGCATGCAATATACCGCAAACCTCACCTTCTATCTGAGGTAAACACTCCTACACTGATATCACATTTTGTTTCTACTATTGTTGGTCTCCGTGAGAATTAGCAGTGTCAGTAGTAATGGTTATCATGTAACTCTCTAAGACAGGATGAGAAACAAAGCACATCCTTATAATATTGATCAGATTTATCCTTGAAGTATTCTCATTGTGGTTAATCCAATAATTAGGAGAAACTGTATAAAACACTGATTTGCATAAACTTTTAGAGTATATTAACTTTTAGGAGTTTTTTGCTGGTTTTACCCTAAAAATACTATCATATTTCATACATATCTGTGTAGCTATTGAATTACCTGGAAGTGTTACAGGTGTAGGGTTTCACAACATTACATGATGAGTGATGGGTGCATGATGTCTTAACAATGTGTGCACTATTTGTGAGCAAAATTTGCTATTGCATATCTGTTCATACAAATTTGAAAGTGATTGTTGATAAGTGTAGGAAAGGATTTATTTATAAGAGTACAACTAAGTATATTTCCTTATTAAGCAATATATTTATCGGTCAGACATGTAGATCTATCAGGTACAGAATGAATATTTATATACACTCATAATAGAGTGTTTTGTTTACGAAGTGTCATACAGGACCAGTGTTAGTGTAGACAGACACTCATTATATATGTAAACATCAAATGGACATCTTTTTTTTGGTCCAAGCTATGAGTCATTTTTTTATCACATTGTAAAGAAAATATATTTACTTGGGTACCGTATTTTCTAGGTTATAAGCTGCACTGGTATGTTAGCCGTAAAGCCAATTTTTACCAATTTTTTTTATTTGATCCAAATATTAGCCACACCATTTTTTACCATATGGTGACCACTATCGTTGACATTTGATATACCGGTAACTGATAACAGAAGGCAGTTCTTACGAAGTGGTAACCATTACGTTGACCAAAGTTCGTTAATATAACAGACAACAGAGTTAAATCTGCAAGAATGTTATTTTCATTTCAATCTTCAAATTATTATGTATATGATTGCAAGTGACGGTTCTTGACTCTTGAAAAAAATCAGTATCGTCTCTACTCGAACAATGTTACATGGCAATAAACTTTTGACAGGCACTGTGTACTTGCAATCAGCACATTAATGACAGATAATAAAATGGCTGACCAGCAGCCTCTTTTGTTATAGCAGTATACCATCTCGTACTCTTGTTATAGCAGTATACCATCTCGTACTCGTGTTATAGCAGTATACCATCTCGTACTCTTGTTACAGCAGTATACCATCTCGTACTCTTGTTATAGCAGTATACCATCTCGTACTCTTGTTATAGCAGTATACCGTCTCGTACTCGTGTTATAGCAGTATACCGTCTCGTACTCGTGTTATAGCAGTATACCATCTCGTACTCGTGTTATAGCAGTATACCGTCTCGTACTCGTGTTACAGCAGTATACCGTCTCGTACTCTTGTTACAGCAGTATGCCGTCTCGTACTCTTGTTACAGCAGTATGCCGTCTCGTACTCTTGTTACAGCAGTGTGCCGTCTCGTACTCTTGTTACAGCAGTGTGCCGTCTTGTTACAGCAGTGTGCCGTCTCGTACTCTTGTTACAGCAGTGTGCCGTCTCGTACTCATGTTACAGCAGTGTGCCGTCTCGTACTCTTGTTACAGCAGTGTGCCGTCTCGTACTCATGTTACAGCAGTGTGCCGTCTCGTACTCTTGTTACAGCAGTGTGCCATCTCGTACTCTTGTTACAGCAGTATGCCGTCACCTACTCATGTTACAGCAGTGTGCCGTCTCGTACTCTTGTTACAGCAGTGTGCCGTCTCGTACTCTTGTTACAGCAGTGTGCCGTCTCGTACTCTTGTTACAGCAGTATGCCGTCTCGTACTCTTGTTACAGCAGTATACCATCTCGTACTCTTGTTACAGCAGTATACCATCTCGTACTCTTGTTACAGCAGTGTGCCGTCTCGTACTCTTGTTATGTAAGCTGCACATCTGATTTACAAGGAAAAAGGGTGCGGCTTATAATCTGGAAATACAGTAGATTTTAAGTGTTGTGTTTGTTACACAGGAGACGTGTCCGGCAGAGAACTGCCACATGTACTTTTATAATCACCTATCAGCATGGTAGCTATTTAGTCATTATTACACAAGTTCTCTGTTTTGTTTTCAGTCCATAATAGTAATCAGCTTTTTTTTGCCAAACCACACCAAATGTATGATCCTATCAAATACTGTTGTGTCTGAAATATTGTACTGCGTGTGTGCATGTGTGTGTGCTTGTATGTGTGCATGTGTGTGTGCTTGTATGTGAGAATATTGTGCAGGCAGAGTATGCACGATGAATGTATGAAGGTTTTGGTACGTTGTGAAAGACAACAACTGTTTTACTAGTACATGTTGTGTGACCTGGCACATTCATAATCATATTTATTACCTAAGAATCGATACTATTATCAGGTGCATTATAATGTTAATCAATATCTCTGTATTCTGTACTCATTACACTTAGCAATAACAGGTAATAGGTCATATTCAACACTCTCTAGCCATCTAACTTCTGGTCATATCCTTGCAGAATCAAAGTTGGCAGCAAGGTGTTTTCAAGAATCCTTAAAGAAAAAGACCTTTTAGTCAATTCTGTTGTATAGTTATTACATTTGTAAGTGATTTTAAAATTTTCAAATTCTGGTCAGAAGTAAAGAAACGTCTTTTTCATGATTTGAGCAGCGTGTCATGATATTGCCAGTGTGAGGCTGACCTGATGAAATCAAGTGAGTTGGCAACACTGCCTTTGAATGAATATAATCACTAGAATTGAGTGTTTCGGGTAAAGTTATTCTAAAGGTTATTCTGGTGGACTAGATTAGCAAAATTGTCTTACAAACTTCAAGTGTGACAGCTTAATGTAACTTGAACATACTCCTTGATATTGCTTATTATCAGTGTCTAGACCTTATTTGACCTTAGGCTTACCTATTGTATGTGCTGTATTGTCAAACTAGGAATAGCTAGGAAAAGTCAGACCCACACCAGTCTTCTTAGACAGTTCAATGATAATAAAAGTACAGTTAAATTCTAAAGATAGGCTGGGAAATGCCAATTATATTTTCCAAAGAAAGCCAAAAGACCTGTTTTAACCGTACGACTGAATGTAATTTTCTGAGAGGAAGAAGTAATCAAAGGTTAAAAGGACTAGTGACAAACATGCAAATAATTACCTAAGAAACTGATCAACCTGTCACAGGAAACTACAAGATTACTAATTCACTGTTATAATATTTTATAAATAGATTTAAAGTTCTTTGTTTTTGACATTTAATGTTCAAGTAAGCTCAAGATAAGTATTGTATAATCATTGATTAATATACCTGCTTATAATCAATTGTGCTTGATTGTATAATGTTATTACTTCTTAACACGATCTTCCCGTACAGGATAACTGGTTACACACAAGTGTTGTTGAGTCATTGTGTGCCATACAAACACTAATGCAAATTTATATAGTGATTTTCCTTCCTAAGATTTTTTGTCCTCATCATCATCTGATGTCAAACCTAGTGTTATAAAAAAAGGCCAAACAAAGTCATTTTTTGTCCGAGATATTCAATGACATATCCTTTTTTAAATCAAGCGTGGTTAACGGTGTTAAAATCACTTGTCTGGTTGTGAAAATTGATTCACACTGCTGGAGGTTGATGTGTTACATGTCCATCAGACAAGGGTTTTTTTGGTTATATGTAATTTGAAAAAAAAAAAACCTTATCAACATCTTCAGAAAGTCTGCTCTCCTGTTCCCTATAAATCTGACAGATATTTTTTTCTGTTCTAGTGATTGTGAGGGAACACCATATGTATACTGTCTATAGATGCATGTAGAGGGATTCCAAATGCCCATCTATGTTTTTAAATGGAAATCTAGAACAAGATGGTGTCACCATATGTGACTGATACTTAGCTTACAAACAGGATTAGGGAAATAATAATTTTAAAAAATGAATGAAAATAAAGATATGACAAATTGTGACAAGAGAAAATACAAAAGGATTATCAGTCTTCGGGTCCTTTGTTTCTGTATAATTTGTGAAATCATTTTTGTCTATCTCAGCTGGCTCCCATCATTGGCATTGTTTTCACTTACCAAACAGCACCCAACATCACTGCAAAGTTAAAACATGTATTCTGAGACACATGTTTCATGTTTTTGACATTGAAACAAATTTCTTCATCAGGAAACCAAATGTATTTGTTGACTTAGCCTGAAATGATGATTCATTTCAATGAGCCTTGACAGGAAGTCAATTTGAGATCACGCTGTATGTCTGTAAAATCTATATCCCAGGGCAGTAACTTATCATCGATTTTTCATTTACCTTATTCAGTTTTTCAATTTTTTTTTAAAAATGATTGTACAAGTACTTTTTATGACACAAAAGAAGTTATTTTCATCCCTTTTGAGTATTCAAACTTATGTAGTCATTAGTAAAATTTAATAAATTGAAGGCTTCGATTTTAAGATATTTTCAATCATGCGCACAGTTGTTATTTTTTTTTTTTTACATATATACCTTTAATTATTGTTCAATAAAACATCATACTTTTGATCAACATCGTGGAGATTTGGTTATTTACTTTGGTTTGTTTTGTTTTTGGTTTTTGTTTCTGTTTTCATTTTTCAATTTGTTTATATGGCACTCCATTACCATCAGAAAAAAAGATATTTGTAATCCGGATTATATAACAAACCTTTGACTAAAATCTGCACAAGTTTGGGATAAATTTGTGATGTAACATACTGGATATTTTTCTTTTTCTGTTTTCAGTTATTGAACAAAACATAGAACAAGAGGAGCATTCCAACAAATCATCTGCAGACCTTAGAATACGAAAGACACAAGTATGTATCTACACCTGTCATTGGTCATCACCATTACAAACACCATTTCCTATTGGTTAACAGGAAAATGTGACGGCATCAGCACATTTCAGAAGTTGAAATATATATAATCATCACTTTCATTGGTTGATATCCAGTTTGAAGTATGTGTCAGCACTTTTCATTGGTTATTTCACTTATGGAATGTACCAGCACTTTTCATTGGTCAATCAGGATTTATTGTCAATATGTGTTTTTATATATACATGTATATATATATATCAGAATGAAAGAATATCATTCATTAGTCCAATCATGTTTTGATGTCATGAGCATATCGTAATTGAGTATACAGCATGCAGTGGTCTGTTTGTTTTCTAAGTCATGATTAAGATCTAAGTTAAGATATATTGTTCAATGAACGTTTCAGAAATCTAAAATTTTGTGAAAATTTCCAAATATCAAAGTCATTCATGTTTATAGATAAAAGTATCAAAGGATTTTCAGAAGTAAGTGCTAGAGATACAGTAACTAAGGGAAGATTTATATATTTACTCAATGTTATCCATTTTTATGTTATTATAATAGCTTATTCAAAGAACAAGGCTAGGTGACTACAACCCTTTGATTTGAAGGTCCTGGTTTATACTGCAGAGATACTAGTACCTGGTGCTACAAATCAGTTATTCAATATGGGGATGGAATTATTTTCAAGTGTATTAAAACGTAAATAGTGGTACAAATAATATTATACTGCACATAAAAGTACTTAAATATGTTTGAATACTAACAGTGCTTAAATATTGTTCCGAAAATCTGCTTGAAACGTCCTTCAGAGATTTGAATGAAGGGACATCTATGTAAATCAAATACCAAATAATTGTGAATTAAAGTTGAAAACATACATTTTTATTGGACAATTAATTCCATATAATAACTATTTTTCTTAACTTTAGATAATCACAATCGTCAATTGTAATTGATCTGTAAAATGGTGTCATTAAACTTGAATATACTCTTCTTAGGCCATATTTCCAGCCTTTTGTTTTCAGAGGGAAATGCAACTAGATGATTCACCAATTTTCATTTTTTGATTTTGATTAAAACAAAAGACAAAAACAAAAATTAAGTGTGAAAAGAGTGATTTCTGAAAAAATTCAAAATCTTCTGATTTTATAGTCTACATCAATACAATATGATATATATTTAACATTAGAAAAATATAATACAAAAGGCCAATTTCATTTAGCAGTTTGTTTAAAAATTTTCTGCTATGTTTATTTCCAGTGTTCTTTTTCAGGAAGATTCCAGACAACTTCTTTTTCAGGACCTGATAATGGATAGTAATTCTTACTTTAACGAAAGTTTCAAAGGAATGCAGATTGATAACAATTACACAAATGCAATTACTTAAATATATATTATCAATAGGAATAATATTGATACCTTTACATCTTACATACATCTCTAATGCCCTTCCCCCCTCTTCTTTGTTTTACTAGCATTTCCTTTTATGACAAAAGACCAAGTGGTTGAATTATGATAATTTTGATTAAGATGTTTTCATTCAACGGATTATATTAAGAGTATTGGAAAATATCAACCATTTTTTCAATTTCCAAAATAGTTTTTTAGGAAGTTTTGATTTTAGTTACATATAAAACAAAAAGATGGTACAGAAAAATGTACATTTGACAAATTCCTCCTCACCAGAAATAATACTGTACTTTCTTAATATCTGTGATTCCAAATGCAAAGAATTTCAATTTCCTGACTTCATTTTTGATGGTGTACTGACCACTGCTCCTCATTAGATTGTCTCTGTACAAGCCAGCTGGCCACTTTTGATTTTCCCTGTGCAAGTCAGCTCTCCAAACTTTTGTTGAAACCACTTCCCCATCTAGGAGTGTCTCTGTGTACTGACCACCTATCCACCATAGATTGTCTGTATAAGCCAACTCAAAAGTGGTCATGCAAATCAGCTATCCCCCTTACATTTTCAAGTCAGCTCTCTAGGTCTGGATTGGGGCCATGTCGCTGGTGATGAGATCTCCTTCAGAAATCTTGCAATACTTATTATCCATTATGCAACTGTCAAGTTCTTCCTTGTTGTATTTTATCAGTGAATCTCCAAACCCAAAAAATTCTACAAACATCTTAAGGATACAAGAGTCTTTTTTTTTCAACAATTCTTGCTCTATGAAAACCAAGGTGATTTTGAGGCTGAAGAAACTGATTGCTACCATTCTACTGACATTAAAACCCTTTGAATACCATCCATAGAGATTAGGGTTAGGAGACCCTTCACATAACACACAGAGTGATAGGGGTTAGGGAACCCTTCACATAACATACAGAGTGATAGGGGTTAGGGGACCCTTCACATAACATACAGAGTGATAGAGGGTAGGGGGTACTTCACATAACATACAGAGTGATGGAGGTTAGGAACCCTTTACATAACATGCAGAGTGATAGGGGTTAGGGGACCCTTCACATAACATACAGAGTGATAGGGGTTAGGAGACCCTTCACATAACATACAGAGTGATAGAGGGTAGGGGATACTTCACATAACATACAGAGTGATGGAGGTTAGGAACCCTTTACATAACATGCAGAGTGATAGGGGTTAGGGGACCCTTCACATAACATACAGAGTGATAGGGGTTAGGGGACCCTTCATATAACATACAGAGTGATAGGGGTTAGGGACCCTTCACATAACATACAGAGTGATAGAGGTTAGGGGACCCTTCACAAAACATAGAGTGATAGGGGTTAGGGGACCCTTCACATAACATACAGAGTGATAGAGGTTAAGGACCCTTCACATAACATACAGAGTGATAGGGGTTAGGGGACCCTTCACATAACATACAGAGTGATAGGGGTTAGGGACCCTTCACATAACATACAGAGTGATAGAGGTTAGGGGACCCTTCACATAACATACAGAGTGATAGAGGTTAGGGACCCTTCACATAACATACAGAGTGATAGAGGTTAGGGACCCTTCACATAACATACAGAGTGATAGGGGTTAGGAGACCCTTCACATAACATACAGAGTGAAAGGGGTTAGGAGACCCTTCACATAACATACAGAGTGATAGAGGTTAGGAAACCCTTCACATAACATACAGAGTGATAGAGGTTAGGGACCCTTCACATAACATACAGAGTGATAGGGGTTAGGGGACCCTTCACATAACATACAGAGTGGTAGGGGTTTAGTGTCATGACCGAGGACACAACCACTACAGCACAAGACTTGTCTGTTTCCTGAGAAATACAAATGGCTGGGAGTACTGATAGCTGAACTACATATATTGGGTCTTCCTCTGACAGAGCTATTGCAGTCTGCTCTTGTCTTTCTGTCTGCTCTGCTAACAAATGCCATTGTTTCTCAATACATGTCTAGATGTAGCAATGTATCCAGGCTTTGTCAACAAAGTACCAACTTTGATCTCTTAATTTGGTGTTTTGGTTTATGTGTCATAAAAACCTCAGTGGTTGGCTCTTATGAAATTGAGGTTCTTTGTAGTAAGTTATGAATGATAGGTATAGAATAAAAGTTTTTTTTTTCACAATCAGCAAAAAATATTATTCATAAATATAGTTGTATTATCATAACTAAAATTCTGCTTCTTGTGGTGAAAGTAAAGATTTTGAAATAAAAAATCTGGATATATACAATTTCAATCAAGTGTGATTATTTTTGGCCCTGAAATTAATTTTTGGTTACAAAATTACGAGTGGAATTGTTAATAGGTAATGAAGTAATATTGATATGCATGACTTATTTTCAGATAATTAATGATGCATACAATTATGTATCACTGATATTAATGGTGTGCTGGGCGATGGGGTTTAAGAAAGTGTTGAATTTATATCAGATTACTACATGGTATGCAAGCTTGGAAAATATAAATCTCATTAAAGTCCAATGTTAATTTGCTGTTTCAAAATTTTCCTAGAATAAAACTTTTGATATTGCATGATGAAGTTAAATAATATTGTCTTCATATTGTACTAAATAGATATTGAAATTTTCTACTTTAACTAATTGTTTCATTTGAAGTTTGAATGATATTTAATGATAATGTTGGTGTTTATACTCTACAAATTAGAACCAGTTTCAGTATTATATACCCAGTGAACAGAACCATTAGTGATAGTTATTTCATATTGAAATATTTTTTATTTTTCTAAATCAATTTCTCCATTGAAATATGTGACTTTTTCCATAGTATTCCACAATATCACGTAAATTTGTGGAAGTGATGGGAGTGTACAACCAAGCACAGCTAGACTACAGAGAGGGGTGCAAAACTCGAATTAAGCGCCAAATGGAGATCAGTAAGAAATTCCCGTTTCTACTCTGCACGGCGTTTCTTTTTAAAACTCCTCTACTAGAACAGCCCAAGCCTCTTACTTTGCTCTAGGTAGCAAAAGAACATCTCTTCATTTTCATTATTTTTGTTTTTATTTTTTGTTTACAAATGATTGTTCCATTTTGGTAGTATTTTGATAAGCTTATTGCAGTTGGAAATTTCAATCAGAAATGTTTTGATACATATTTAAAAGCTTTTCAAAACAGCTTGAATTCAGGATGAAAATTTTGTAAATTTGATGAATTTTGAATGAAATTGTTCTCCTAAATTTCAATTTCAGATCAAAATTCACCAATGCAATAAATGGAACAGTTATTTAGATCATTTTTCTTTGATTTTCTAGAAAACTATAAACTTTTGATGGATTTTTTGTGTTTTTTGAATAATTTCTGTACATTTCTTTTCATTTCTGCCCTAGCACGCCACATTATCACGTAAATTTGTGGAGGTTATGAACGATTACAATTCGTGCCAGATAGACTACCGTGAGCGATGCAAAGGACGCATTCAGAGGCAGCTGGAGATCAGTAAGCCATCGTTTCGTACTTTTTGCTTGTGCTGCTGTCTCCCCCCTTACATAACAATTAATCCGAGTTCCTTATTTGGTATTGTCTGCTACTTAAGCGTTAATTACCTGTAGTGTGGACCTGTGAGCTAGCATAAGTGCATGGCCATCAAAACCTGATAGTTGTTGTAATGCTTATATCTTCATGTTGACAAGATCACTAAAGTGTTTGCAAAGAGGTAAAATGATGTTCAGATAATGAAAGGTTATATTTGGTCCGCTTCTTTAACCGGTAAAACACTAATTTCTCGTTAGAAATCATTTTGACTTAGGTATCAAGTATTAAATAGAGTTACAGGTAAATAGTCTGATTGAGTTCATAGTATTGACCCTGAATAATAGATATTAATTGATGTTAACAATTCTCTTGTCAGGTTTTGTCTCATCAATCATACATTTCAGCACTTCAAAAGATTTTGGAAAGAAAAATAATTCAGATATGTGTATTATCTTATTTTCAAACGTCAGATTCAAATAAAACAAACAAAGTTTTGGCTTATTGATAAATCTTTATTTATGTATTATTTTTTTATTTTATGATAAAGTCCTGTATTTTAAGGGGTAGATGAAAGTGGTACAAAGTTGTTTTTATCAGATAATTTGCACTTGTAAGCAAATTGGTCCATGTTTAACAGGTCTTCAAAGTGTGAACTTTACTGATTCTTTAGATTTTTTCACTGCTTTCCCATTGATCAATCCTACTGCCTGTTACTTGTCCACTCTGTACGCTGTATTTAATGAGAAGTAGCTATTGTTACTACAGTGTCGTAATCCTCATCATTGTGTCCCAGCGATGACTTCCTGTACTCTGTACATAGATCACTTAAAAGAAATAAACCATTAAAAAAATCTGAAATTAGATTGAATAGGAATAATCCTGGTTAACGTTTGAGATGGGATTAAATCTTTTTAAAAGACACCAGTACTTTGATTTCAACTGGAGACACTTTTTAGGTATTTTCTAAACTTAATGATGTTAAAATCAGAGTTCTGTGAAGTTTCAATTATCAAACTAAAGTACATCTGATGAGAGCTATAGAGCTAGCAACCTTTTGTTAAAAGAGATATTTGTAATACAGATAAAAGTAAATATGTTAAATATGTGAATGTCAAAAAAGGAGGAAAAATATCAAAACTCTTTCTACATGTGGGTTTCAGCTTATGGTATTTCCTTTATTCGTCCATTATTGTCAGATGATGGGCTAATCAAAGAAACCCTTTATCAGGCGTTTGGAGTAAAGCCATGCCTAAACAATTCTCGTGCAAGATGGATCTTTTTCAAATTTTCTGTGTAGGTTCCCTTTTGTCCCTAGTTGTATATTGCCCGATTTTGGAACTGATCTGGAAAACAAAATGGCCGACAGTAGGTCAACTTGGATTTTGACAGTAGTAGTTTGTTATCATTATTTCTTGAGAAGTACCGGATGGTCTCTGAAATCTCATGTGCAAAGTCCCTAGTTGTGCATTGTCTTTTTTTTGGTATGATTTAAAGAGACATAATGGCAGACGGGTGGCCATCTTGAATTCTGCTTACGAAGATCTATTTCATGGAAAGTTCTGAATGGGTCTTTCTTCTGTATGATATATAGTTTCTTCCTTGGTCCCTAATTGTGCCCTTTTGATTCTGGGACTGATCAGAGACACAAACTGGCTGACAGGTGGTCATCTTTGATTTTAACAATGAAAGTCTGTTATCACTATTTCATGTGAAATACTGGATTGATCTTTTTCTCAAATTTTATATGTAGGTTCCCCATTGTCCCTAGTTGTGCTCTTTTAATTTTGGGACTGATCAATATACCAAAATGGCCAAGAGATGACTTTCTTGGATTTGACAAGATTAGTTTTTAATTCAGACTGTTTCATGAAAGGTGTTTTCAAATATGATATATTTAAGAGCATGAACAGAAAAATAGATAAAAAAGAAGGGAAAAGATAAAACTTTAAAAAAGAAAAACCTAACAAAACAAAAAATAAAACATTGTTGGATGCCATGATTTCTCTGGGCTCTCTTGTAACTTACAGAGTATGATAGGACTTCTTTGGATATTTAGATATGATTATTGTTGTATGTGAAAATTTTTCTGTTACCTTGAAAGTTTTGTTGACAAACAGTGAGCAAGATTTATTTACTGGTTTATTGTGGGAATTTATTGGTATAATCATTAGGAAGAAATCAATAATATAGAATTGATGCCGGCTCCAACTGACCAGATTACTCCCATATTGATTTATAATTAGGATTTCATCAATGGCAGAAGTCATTGATTTTTCATATCATTTCCTTGTAAAATGTCTCTGTGAATTCAACCTCTTCTCCCTTTTGTTCCTTGATAATAAATTGTTTTCCTTCATTCCCTCTTGGAATTATCTTTTTTATCTGATAACATCAACATTTTTTTCTCATTGATCTGGAGATATGCTATAAAACATTTTACTGCCATTTAGCTATCCGAGTAAACCCAGGTCTTAGTAAATTCACTACAACGCTCTCCATATTATAATCATGGAAACTCAGTAAGGGGTTTAATACAGAGTATCACAGTGAATTAAGGTCTGGTTTAACCATTTACCAGCTGCTAATATCTTTTACAGCCAATTAATTACCAGCTGATGGTATATTATACAGCTATTTACAAGCTGTTCATATGTTGTACAGCCATTTACCAGCTGTTAATTCACGGTACAGCCATTTACCAGCTGTTAATTCACGGTACAGCCATTTACCAGCTGTTAATTCACGGCACAGCCATTTACCAGCTGTTAATTCACGGTACAGCCATTTACCAGCTGTTAATTCACGGTACAGCCATTTACCAGCTGTTAATTCACGGTACAGCCATTTACCAGCTGTTATCTCTTGGTGCAGCCATTTACCAGCTGTTGTCTCTTGGTACAGCCATTTACCAGCTGTTGTCTCTTGGTACAGCCATTTATCAGCTGTTGTCTCTTGGTACAGTCATTTATCAGCTGTTGTCTCTTGGTACAGCCATTTATCAGCTGTACATACATTGTGCAGCCATTTGACTGTAACTTTGTTGTACAGCCAGTTACCAACTGTTAATATTTTGTACAGCCATTTACCAGCTTCTAACTTATGGCACAGCTATTTACTAGCTTTTAATACATTGTACAGCCATTTACCAACTGTTAATATGTTGTACAGCCATTTGCCAGCTGTTTATATACATTGTACAGCCAAGTTCCAGTTGTGTATTTTCATAATTTATTCTACTGCTTCAATACGGTCTCCAAAAAATTGTATGAAATAAAGAAGAAATAACTTGCTGTAGTTACTTGTGATTTTTTGATGCTAGATTGTTTTTTGATATTTCTATGTGTAGGGGTGGGGGGATGTGAATTCTGTGTATGAACTGTAGGTGTATTGTCCAGCCATGTGTTGTGAGATCTAGACACCAATATTTCCAGTCAGCTTTTCAAAAATGTGGTCATTTAATCATTGAAAGATTGGTAAAATTTTCGTAAGGTATAATGTTCACTAGAATGTCTGGTGGCACAATGATAATGCATTTGCCTTTCACCATGATGTCTGGGGTTTGACTCCGAAAGTGGACATGAAAAGGTATGGGGTCACCTGTCTGACAACATTGGTTTCCTTCTACAGTAACACCTTTCATGTGCTTTCATTTGTTTGGACAAGGACTATTGATATAAGGCAACAGCTTGTTATAAAATTGTTAAAGAATAAATAGTTTATATGTTCATATATACAGGTATTATGTACAATACATCTAAAACTTTCAACACATTGAATCTGTAGGTATTGACAATATTCATTCTGTTAAAAGCAGGTCTTAATATATGCAGATGGAATGCTGTTACGTAATTTATGATATAATTTAGATGTTTAAAGCAGTTGCTCAAAGCTGTAGGTTATGGAACAATCTGTAATTAACTTAGCAGCATAAAATTTGAAAATTGATCATCAAATGTGACATTTATTTTCTCCCCCTATCTAGTGATCAGAGAGTTTTTTGAATTCCAAAAACAAAACAAAAAGGATTTTGTTGTTGATAACTTCAGCCAATAGAACACATAAAATGTGGCATATTGGTGGTTGTTCAGATCAAATGCTCCACCAAAAATCATTGTTAGTTTTAACAGTAGTGAGATCTCTGTTATATCTGCTGTAGATTACTGTACTAATTCCAGTAACTGTATCTAGATAGTAGTATATGTGATTTATAACATCATTTAGAAAAGAAAAACTTTGGTATGTTGAGGATAGAAATCTGGTTTCATCAATGTCATGGAGTTAGTGTAACCATTAGCAACCATGGCATTAGTAGTCTGTTGTCTGTTGTTCCTTGTCCCATAGAGATGAAACAAACATTAGTAACCATTCATTAAAGATATGATGTCTATGGTTTCCTCTACCATAGAGCTAGAGATAAATTGTGTCCTTAGACTTTAAATAGCCATTAGTTACCATATAAAGACGTGATGTTCTCTACCATAGAGGTAGGACAGCATTTACTTATCATGGTGATATAGATATGATATTCTTTATCAAAGCGGTATGTCAGCCATTAATTACCATGTTGTTAGAGAGGACAACCATATGTTACCATGGTGATAGAGATGTGGTTTCAAATACAAGTTACAGAAGATTGAGTCACCCCTCCCTAGTTTTTGTCCCACATTGACTGGAAAAGACAAAACTGCTAAACCCTATTGGTGGGAATGAGTATTTTATGTAAAATGGGTAATTTTCTCAATTGAGACAGAAAAAATATATCAGAGAGTTTATGAAAATGATATACATTGTATTTCGATATTTATTTTAATCTTAATGAGAAACCAATATTTATAATATTAAACAGAATCTTTATAGTGTTGTAGTAGTATTAGTGAGTTGATGATGAACAGTGACATTCATAAGATGGATTATGATATACTACGCAGCATGTGTGCTCTAGTCTTTAGCTTTTCTGCTGAGTTGAGAATGAATCAGAACGTTTGAAGAAAAGGATCAGAACCTTCTGATGCAGAAACGTCTATAAGCCTTGGGGTGATACAATTCTAGCACAAGAAATTGTAGTCATTGTATGTGTCATTCACAACAGAATGACCAACAGTAATGTACTAGCAACAGATGAATCATAATCTATTTGAAATAACACATAACACATGTTGCACTTTTGGGCAGATATTTTATTTTTGGCACCCTTTTCTCATTTTTTGATTGTTATTTTCGATTCATATGAAAATCATTTGTTTTATTATTGAATTGTTTGTTTAACAATATAATTTTCTATTTCAGGTACTAGTGCTCTTTACCACATATGTTATTTATTCTTGTATATTGTGGAAAAGTTTTGATAAAACCTGTATATTTTTGTCATCTGATTAAACTACAGTCATCAAATTTAAAGAAAATTGATTTTACAGTTTTTGAATATTTAATTTCTTTCTTAAATTTTGTTGAATTGTATCCTATTTCTTCATTTTGACAATTTTAGGTTTTAACAACAAATAAATATCAATTTGCATTATAGCTGGAAGAACTACAACAAACGAGGAGCTAGAAGATATGTTAGAATCAGGGAATCCAGCAATATTTACGCAAGGGGTAGGTCTACTAATCTGTAAAACCTACACACAGTTATACACAGGTGATAGGTCTACCAGACTATGATACCTCATACAATGTCATACACAGGTGATAGGTCTACCAGACTATGATACCTCATACAGTGTTATACACAGGTGATAGGTCTACCAGACTATGATATCTCATACAATGTCATACACAGGTGATAGGTCTACCAGACTATGATACCTCATACAATGTTATACACAGGTGATAGGTCCACCAGACTATGATATCTCATACAATGTCACTGATGATACCTCATACAATGTCATACACAGGTGATAGGTCCACCAGACTATGATACCATACATGTCATACACAGGTGATAGGTCCACCAGACTATGATACCGCATACACAGGTGATAGGTCTACCAGACTATGATACCTCATACAATGTCATACACAGGTGATAGGTCTACCAGACTATGATATCTCATACAGTGTTATACACAGGTGATAGGTCTACCAGACTATGATATCTCAGACTATGATATGATACTCATACAGTGTTATACACAGGTGATAGGTCTACCAGACTATGATATCTCATACAATGTCATACACAGGTGATAGGTCTACCAGACTATGATACCTCATACAGTGTTATACACAGGTGATAGGTCTACCAGACTATGATACCTCATACAATGTTATACACAGGTGATAGGTCTACCAGACTATGATACCTCATACAATGTCATACACAGGTGATAGGTCTACCAGACTATGATATCTCATACAGTGTTATACACAGGTGATAGGTCTACCAGACTATGATATCTCATACAATGTCATACACAGGTGATAGGTCTACCAGACTATGATAATCATACAATGTCATACACAGGTGATAGGTCTACCAGACTATGATATCTCATACAATGTCATACACAGGTGATAGGTCTACCAGACTATGATATCTCATACAATGTCATACACAGGTGTTATACATGATATCAGGTGGTGATAGGTCTACCAGTCTCACAATGTCAGGTGACCAGACTATGATATCTCATACAATGTCATACACAGGTGATAGGTCTACCAGACTATGATATCTCATACAATGTCATACACAGGTGATAGGTCTACCAGACTATGATATCTCATACAATGTCATACACAGGTGATAGGTCCACCAGACTATGATAATCATACAATGTCATACACAGGTGATAGGTCCACCAGACTATGATACCTCATACAATGTCATACACAGGTGATAGGTCCACCAGACTATGATATCTCATACAATGTCATACACAGGTGATTGGTCCACCAGACTATGATACCTCATACAATGTCATACACAGTTGATAGGTCCACCAGACTATGATACCTCATACAATGTCATACACAGGTGATAGGTCCACCAGACTATGATACCTCATACAATGTCATACACAGGTAATAGGTCCACTAGACTATGATAATCATACAATGTCATACACAGGTGATAGGTCCACCAGACTATGATACCTCATACAATGTCATACACAGGTGATAGGTCCACCACACTAAGATACCTCATACAATGTCATACACAGGTGATTGGTCCACCAGACTATGATACCTCATACAATGTCATACACAGGTGATAGGTCCACCAGACTATGATACCTCATACAATGTCATACACAGGTGATAGGTCCACCAGACTATGATACCTCATACAATGTCATACACAGGTGATAGGTCTACCAAACATGTGTTGTCTCGTGCAATTTAAAACTTCCCAATAATATTTGTTCCATATTGATTGCAGAGCTATTAAGGATACTTTGGAAATGTTGAGCTGTGTTTTGAAAAAAAAAAAAAAAAAAACAGCCAAAAAATAGACATTAAATTCTCCTGATACTGGAACTTGATTTCTAAGTTGACATTTGTAAAGTCTACGATTGTCCAATCTATATTTAAAATTAAGATATTTCTTGTGCCCAGTTTGTAATGCAATTTTTTGAATTTTAGATCATAATGGAAACCCAACAAGCAAAACAGACGCTAGCAGACATAGAAGCACGTCATAATGACATTATAAAATTGGAGACAAGTATACGAGAGCTTCATGATATGTTTATGGACATGGCAATGCTTGTGGAACAACAGGTGAGGTATAGAGGTCAAAGGTGAGGTCAGAGGTCATGGGAAAGGCATCAGCAGCGTTAACATTTTTTTATTGCCTTCCAAAATATTCTCTGAGAGAAGCGTTTTTGAGCTTTATATATGTAATAAGTAATAGCGCAAGATACCTGTATTTGCCAGCTTGCCAAGAAAAGAATGTGTGGTAAACTTATAAAGTTGAATAAAAAATATTATCCAAACTCTATATTGGTAACAATATTTGATCGGTAAACAAGTATTTGTTCTATGAAAAAATGATGTTCAACAGTAATTACATAGAGCATAACGACACTTTCAATGAATTAGGCTTTATTTATTTTCATTATCAAATGTTTTTAAAAAAACTTTTTATGTGTTAAACTTTTCAGCATTCTGGAATTTTTCAAATTCATTATTGAATTTGGTGGATAACCTCAGTGAAGAAATACTACACTCACAACAGATGTAATAGATAGGAACCTGTAATGATAAATTAACATACTGGCTTTAAAGCATATTTACTTTATATGTAGTGATAAATTGTAGATGAAAATTTTAAATGTTCCTGAAGTATACCTAGAAGCCTCATGATCAGTTCTATGTAGACAGGTAACAGTTTAAGTTTATATTGTAGGGAGAAATGATAGATCGTATAGAGTACAACGTGGAACAAGCTGTAGACTATATAGAAACGGCCAAGATGGATACAAAGAAGGCAGTACGCTACCAAAGTAAAGCTAGGCGGGTAAGTAGAGTTATGTCCCTTGATATATAAAAATCATCACTTTTGGAAGGTTGTTTGTAAGCTGGTGAAATGATGGATAATCTGGCAATTAATAATATATCTAACATAGGTGTTGTTATTCAGTGAAACTGGAATATTTCAACCCAAGTGTAAGAGTTTGTCTAATCAGCACAAGGCTTGCCGAGTTTTGACCAACCAAACTCTTACACTTGGAATAAGATATCTCTTGTCAATCAAACAGGCCAATGTTTGATTATATTTCTCTAATACTTAATAAAAAAAAAAGTAACAAATTGTTGTGAAACTTATTCATCTATATCCATATGCATTGAAATTGATGACGAAATCAATTTGCATTATTATTACACTATAACCTACCCTACAGCGAGTGTGAGCTGTCTTTCCCTGCTAGACATTGATCTATCTCTGTTTGAACATATGTACCAGTGAAATACTGGAAGATTATTAATGTTTTTTTAGATCATATAAAAATGGTTTAAATTGAAAATGATGACTTCATTACTCGTGTGATATCAGCAAAATGTGTAAAAACTTCTTTTTGTGCCTAAAAGACAAAAAGGAATAATTACAGCCAATGATAGAATTTGTTTACATTATTTCTTTAGGTTGCAGAGAAAGGCATAGAAACTTTAAACAGAATCAGTTAAAATTCAGATATTCAAATATCAAGTGTGTGGGTCGTTTGCATCCAGTAACATTAAGTACCTTAAACAGATGCCTAATCATTGATTGGAAACTGATACTGTGCCATAACCATATTGTATAGGTGGTATTATTCACAAGCGGATTTAATTTTGCTGTATTTGCAATCAATAAATATAGTGAGGTATTAGATATCCAGAAAACATTTCTATAGAGAATGAAAATCAGAAAAAATATCTGTTATTTCTGTATACATGGACCCCGTTTCATAGGCTAATGCGAGTCTGAATACCCGTGAACTCTCCCATACCAGGATGACCACAAAAATGTCAGTCCAGCGGAATTACACATCTAATACAGTGTCACATGTATTCTGTCAGCCACTGCAGCAGTTTTATTGTTCCTTAGTTAGGATGACTTTATTTTTATTATAAATATATTGGCGATTTTAATTTTCATTCTTTATTTATTTATTTTTTTTTATCTTTCAGAAAATGATAATGATCGTAGCTTGTGTTGTAGTTCTTGTGGTCATAATTGTCATCATAATAATTACACAAGTTGCCTAGGAATGCACCACATGACCCAACACAACCATTCTGATTGGCTAATGACATTCCAAAATGCAAACAAGATTTTTCCTTAGAAAACAAGGCTGGCAAGCTATGTGACTTTTACTGCCGAATGTCTTGTACAAGATATCTTGGCAGATGGATCTACATCACGTGGATGTTACAAGGGAGAAAGAGATGTGGTCCAGATATTTCATTGCGTGGCAAGTAGGATATGGAATTTCAAGTTCTGGATGTAGGCTATTGTTGCTAGTAATGTTACCTGGATGGAAGAAGAAAGATGAAGAGGAGACATTTTCTTCATAGAAATAAAAGTAGTGTTGTATTTATGTGGGAAGGATTTCATTATAGGTCATCTTTCTCGCCCCTGTTTTAGAGTATGCCCTGTCTTGACTGATATTGACAGACTTTCATAGGTCTCTCTACTCTCTCAAAATGTTAATGTCACTTAAAAAAAAAAAAATGCAGTAAAACTGGACATCATATTATAATTGAATTTTGATATGAAAAAAAATTAAATTAAAGACAGAAAGCTTAAAAAAGAGCACAGATTAATGTACTTTATATTGACTTGTAATCTCACCAATTTTGTTAAATATTCAAGGAGTTTATTGCTTTGTAAAATATAGGTGTGTTGGATTGAGATTCCATCATACCTACCAATTGGTTGACTCCCATTTCATAATTCTCAACTTAATATTAACTACAGCATTCAGAACATAACAATTAAGTCTATTTTCTAGAAACAGATAATGTTCTTATTGATAAAAGATCATAATTAGAATGAACTGGGGGAAAATGGTGTTCTAGAGGTATACTTTAACACGAGTAGTTTGCAAGAGCTTTGCCAGATGTTCACTAAACAGTAATTATTCACTTGCTTGAAGTAATGATGTTTCTCAAATGAGGGAAATGTTAGTTTAGTGATTTCTCATATTTCATTTAAATAACATCACATTTTAGAACATTTTACTGAACTATATGATGCATTCCATAGTTATGATTGAAACAATGCTTAGTTATGGTTGATGGATGTAAAGTTACCCGACTTAAGGTCAGCAGACTGATAAGGGATAATTCTCTCAAGAAACACTCATGGGACACTAGATGCCCTATAGAGTACATGCATGTCAAATGGGACACTTGTATGTCACATGGGATACTTGTATGTCACATGGGACACTTGATGCCCTATAGAGTACATGTATGTCAAATGGGACACTTGCTTGTCACATGGGACACTTGTATGCCCTATGGAATATATGCATGTCAAATGGGACACTTGTATGTCACATGGGACACTTGTATGTCACAGGCAGAGGAATTGGAGAAACATAACTGATCATAAAAATAAGTGTATAATTAATGTTTAAATGTTCTGCTATAAAATTGAAAGTTGGACAATAAAGATGAATGGTTTACGAAGTTTCTGTGCTGATGTAAGTGGACCACTGAGACAATGTTTTTATCAGTCAAGAATACAAACAAAGGGTGTTTCCCACAAGGTGTTGGGAACTGGTAGCTTATATTTCTCTACATAGCTCTTTGTGCAATAAAGTGCATATACGTAGATATGCATTTGTACCATGATAATCTTTTTTATCCGTGATTGTTGTAAACGTTTTCTTGATGAACTTATCAAGACTATGTACTAGGAGGATTTGTTTCAATTTTTCAAACATTATTTGTTACGTAAGCACCACTTGACGTAACACAAGTGATACAAGAAATGTTTGATATGAGTGTACCATTTTATACAATCTGAATAAAATCAGCTCTTGAGCTCCCAAATTTTTTGACATTTTTTCATTTGACCTCTTGACCAATCAGCAAGTTTGTCAGATAGTCCTCTTACAGTCAGAGTTTTTTTAAATTTAAAGGATTCTGCAGTAATTATCTGGTTCACAAAAATTCAAAAGTCAGTATGTAACAGAGTTTCATATCTGTTCAAATTATTTGAAATGACATTTAAGATATTGTTTTGAATTGACTGAATCATAAAAAGGAAATAAAATCAAGTATTGTATTATTCAGCCAATCATGGATTTTGTTACATGTTTCCCACCATGGTTTTACAAATAAGGACAAAGCTGATTGACTGTTTGGTTGGTCACTGAACATGAACTATGTGCTACTCATTGTGGTGAGTGTAAGTGGAGCATTGGATTTGATTTTACTCAGAATGTTTCTTTGTGCTGTGTGTTGTGACTTGTTATTTGTGTGGACGAAAAATGCATATTTTACACTCTTAACCTGACTAATAGTATTTACTTACTCAAAAACATACCTTGGAAATTTTGGAAATAATACTTTGAGTACTGTTGTCAACTTATGTTTAGGTAATAATAGAATCTATCTTGTTAATAATTTACACTGAATGTTGGGTTTTAAAAGTCAAACATAACAGTTAGGAAGAAAAGGCTGTTATTATGTGGCAGAAATTTTAAATACCAGCATTGGCAAAGAAATATTTCTGGAAAAGACTTCAAAAGTTTGTCAGAAAGAAAGTGTATCATTTGAATGACATTATTTACTTTTGCATACATATTGATATCCGACAAGCCAGTGATGTAGTAATTCCCTGTCTATGATCCAGTTTTGATGTCGAGGGATTTGTATGTTTCTACATGTTAGTTTGTTCTTTATTACTGCCAACATCTTTGCAGATCATTGTGAATGATAAGTAAATCGTCTTCTTAGATAACTGTGAGTAAGCTAGAACTGACAGGCTTAAGTTTAGCCAAACTGGTGTGGTATCCTGCTCAAAGTGTCGCGCACAAATAGAATAGTTAGGCCTATTGCTTGAAAGTCACCATCTGTAATTCACTTTTTAGTTTCTAGATCATTCTAGTATGATTTCTACAATGTTTCCAAGGTTTTTGGTTCAAAGGAATGGTTCTGATTATATTGAGTATTTTTGATGACCTTCAAATGACGTACACAATATGTACAATTACAAATGTTAACCAATTGTCACAATACACAACTGTAACTTTATAATATCTGCACACAACTGTGATGCACTACAATGATCTAAGAACATTGAGCAAGTGTTAATGATAAATAATACTTCTAGTGGACTGTCTAGTTAACCACCGTTTTCCCAAATAACAACTCTTGCATCTTCTTTAGTCACCCAAGTCAGTAACAAAATACTTCTAAGACATTTCACGCATGACAAATTTGGAAAAGTTAAATTATAGTGTCAATTTTTTTTTTTCAGGCCTCCGCAATTTGATGGGGGTGGGGGGCATATATGTCCATCTGTCCATCCATCTGTCACATCTTGAAAACTTTTCATTATTTGGATATGCAGTAATCAATATGAGAATAATGAGATAAAAACTTCTTTGAATATAAAACTTAAACAGTGTGTCTGCTGATTTGATTGTTAAGGGGATGCAAGGCTTGTTCATCCTTGTTTCATATTGTCTTAATTTGCATTTTTATTACAACAAAGGCATCACTTTTACATCAAATTGTCACCATTTTTATTTCTAAAGATATACATCAGAGTGTAATTTTTTTAAAAAGATATCAGAAATATATGATAATTTTTTTTATATTTTATGAATCATTAAAAAGACTGAAAATGAAATTGTTTAATGAAGATTATGACAAATGAAACAGGGATGCATTTTCTGTGATTAGTGTGTCAGTAATTTCTTGTAAATCATCAAAGTTAATAGTTGTATTTAGTTTCTGCTTGTATAAAGCTTTGGATAATTATATTTTTATATTTTCCTCAGGAAATTTTTTTTTTTTTTTTTTTTTGCAAAGTACTTTGTCTTCATTCAGTAAATGATCGTGGTCGTCTTTTTGAGTCTTACTACAGGTTGACTTATGTGCTCCTTATTCAGGCTTTTCTTCTCGACAAGTGAAGTATTGATGGGTAGATACATTGTTATGTTAACATTTTGATACAGTTCGTCTTGTTTTTGTTTTTGTTTTTTTGAAGGGTTTTTTTTTTTTTTGAAGAAAAAAAATCTTTTCTTTGAGTGCTACAGTAGACCAGAATATTTCGTTAATTTGTTTCCAGAGGTTGTCAACAAAAAAGAGAGGGATTGGGAAATGAAGGAAATTAAGTAGGTTACCTGTGGTAAGACTAATTAGGCTTTGAATGAACTAGATTTAAATTCTGGTCTTTATGTATTTTCCCCAGTAGTGATTTTTTTCTGATGTATGTATTTTTCACCAAAAATAATGAAGTTTTTCTAATGGAGAGCAAATTAAGTAAAAAATCCTGTGTTTTCATTGTCGAATCAGTACTAGCAGCGGTACTGTCTTTTTGTTTTTGTTTGTATTGAGAAAGTATTAGAAATATTTTCTTCTGTCTTCACAAACTGAAAGCACTTACAAATTACGCAACACGATGTCATGTTATACATTCTGTGTTTACATCTGGTAATGTGTTAGTGTTACATTAAACCTATGTTTGTTTAGTGCTACAAAATCAGTTGTCAGGTTTGAAAATAGATTTTACAGAGAGTTTTTAGTTTGAAGAAGTTGAAGTTGGTATAGTAATGCATTTAGTTATACTTTAGATATATGGATCAGAGATGTCTATGATGAACTTAAAGAGGCCGGAGATATCTTACAATCAGCGACATGGGAATCGGATTATATCAACATGCGTAAGATTCATAAATGTACATGATATTAAAAAAATATATAACATAATGAATGTTCATGCCAACTAAGTGATAGTCATGTTGACTATCTTCGCTGATAATTTACAAGCTGTTTAGTGCAACGACAATCTAATGCAATAACTCCATCAGCTGTAGACATGTATTGAAATGCAAATCTAAATGCATTTATTAGAATTCAGAAGACCATCAACAAACAAGAAACAAACAAAATGACTTTAATTATCAGATTTTAGGTACTTTCAAAAAATTTTATCCGAATTCTTCACTCATCAAGTTGATCATACTTTGATGCGATCCTTATTATGACATTATGGAAATGTAGAACATCATTAAATTGCCTTAGTTTTAGTTTTCAATAAAGTATTAGAATCTAACATTT